AAATAATTAAAGTGAAATTAATACTTTATCCATACCTATACTAATGACCATGTTTATCAAAGATTTTTATAAAAAATGATATAAGGTCAAACGGCGTATTGATTTCTAATCACTTTTGGCTAAGCAATTGCCATTCAAATGCCTCTTCATCGTGGCTAAGTGTTCAGGGAGTTTCGAGTTTCAGATGACGAGAGTGCAATCAATCAATCAATCAGTGGTCACACATTCAACATGATTAGACACCGTCTCGTTTAATTAGTCCGTGGTCAGTGTGAGCCGTGAAAAAGTTGTTAACACCGGGGCCAACACGGCAATTGTTTGTGCCGTGTCCAAAGTGGTTTAGATTAATGGTTAGCTTCGGCTTAAAAGGGGGAATTGGTGGTTAAGTAGGTCATTTTCACGTGTGCATGTCGCTTATCACACTATTAGCGGTGGTTCTCTTTTATCCACAGCTATAGAGCTACACTGCAAAATCATAATAGTACTTAGGTAGACGATAGACATAAAACCATACTGGCGATGGTATAATATGATATGTAAAATACCTGTACTTTCCGCAGTGTATATCAAATTCCGTTTTTCCCCATTTTCTCTATTAAAAATCGACTCAGTTTCATAATTTACATTTCCCCCCAGTTGGCTGTGTAACCGAATTTCGTCTGGGGTGAATGGAGCCCCAAAAGAGGACATAAATAGCTTCCCGGTGGGGCATAGATAAACCCTCAGACGGAGTTCCTCCACACGACTCCCCCCTCCACCGATCTCTCTGCGCAAGACGCAGACAAATTATGGACAAATTATGTCGACCTGGAAATGAGCAGCGGGCGAATGCGAGCGTGGTTTCAGCCTCATTATATAGCTGGCTGCTTCCTACGTTGTCCCACTTCCTTGCCACGCCCCCTGCCCCGTACACCGCCACTTTACTCCCCAAAACCCACTGCCCTTCTGTTCGCATGCGTTGTCGTCTGTTTGGCTTTTGGCTTTGGCTCTGCGGCTTGGCCATATTTAAATCGCAGGAAGTCAGCGCCAGGTTAGCTACGGGCCATACTATCCCATGTGCTGCTCTCCACACACACAGCGTTTGTGTGTGCCCTTGTGTGCGTGTGTGTTGGTGTGCTGGTGGCTACTTCCGGTCGTTTGTCGCCATTTTCATAATGTCTGCCTGTGGGCCGTAGGCGTTTGTTGATTTAGTTTTGCCTTTTATTTCTCGCACCAGCAATGCTGACTCTGGTTTTATTCCATCTCTTTTAATTTAACAACAGGGCAAATATTTAGGTCGTCACCCGCGCAGCCTGCTTGATTTAAAAAAATGCAATTCAAGTTGCAAAATACATACACATATATATATATATAAATATAAAAAATTCTGGAAAAGGTTTTAAATTTTTTTGCGTCAAGGGTGCTTGGAGTGGGCCCCACTGCACAATTTGTTGTATTATTTAGCAAAGTTCACTTGAGCGTGTAGTTGAAATGAAAGTGGGCATGGTCCAGGCGCCTGGGGGCGAAAGAAGCGGGGGCTAGCCATTCGGATAAGCCGTGTCGGCAGTTTGCCGGAAATTGAAGCAGGAAAAAATATACAAAAAAAAATGTATATATATACACCTACAAAAATGGAAAACAACAACAGGAACCAGAAGAAATTGTTGCAGTTGCAGGTGCAAAAGTGGAGCTCGACCACTCAGCGCGCCCCCCGTTTCATCCCGAAAAATTTCGTACGCTGTAAATATAAAGCATAAAATATGCAGTAGACGTGAGACAGGCTTTTAAAATATTGCTTAAATTTTAATACAAAATGGGGGCAGTTGCACTTACAGGGAGTCGGTATTTAATTGGAGTGCCCTGCCCGTCAGCGGACTTTCATTTGGCATTTAAGGCAGGCATTAAATTAATTTGCATTTGGCCAATCGATTTGCATAGCCATCCCGCTGTCGAACAGCTCCAAATCTCCTGACAAACGCAGATGGATATAGATGGGCAGACACATAACGATCTACCTATCTAAATATCTAACAATCGCAGGAAATGCAAATCGAATGCAATGCTGTAAAAAGAAGTGCAGGAAATCTCGATGGGAAAAGCGGAGTGAAGTGAAGCGAAATGAAAAACGTTTGGCAGTTTGAAAAGCATGTCAAGCGACTAAATTACCTTTATGCTGGGTGCCACTCACTCAGCCCGCACGCTTAAGTTTTCCTCTGCTTGGGTTTTTCCGCTTCTCTTCGCCTTTTTCCCCCATGTTTATCGATTGCGAAAGTTTTTCCCAGCGCCATTTTCGCGACATATGGCTCGGTCTGCTCCTTAAGTTTCGTCTGTTTCATGTTGCTGACTTTGCTTTGTTTGCCAACGTCTCAACCGCAATTCATTTCATTTCAATTGCCTCACAGAAAAAAAATAAGCAAATATGTGTGAGTATGTGTCTGTGTCTGTGCTGCACTTCCGGTTCCTGCTGTGGCTCTGTCATTCGTCCTGGCTACGTCCTTTTGCCCCTTTTGCCGCCTTTCGCCAGCCTGGACTGCATTATGCATGTTGCTCGCAAATTTAATGTGATTTACAATTTAGACGATGTGCAGACATAAACGATACAACACACCTAGTGAGACGAAGGCAGGGGGGCAAACAAAAATGCTCGAGGGTCATGAACTAAGTTTATTGTGCACATTTAAATGAAATTGCTGCGCTCAATTTATTCGCTAAGTGCCCAAAGGCATTGCCAGGTAACTTGCAATGAAAATGTGTTTACAAAAAAGGAGCAACTACAAAATGTGCACTTTCCTGGTCGATGTTTTCAATGTACACAAAATAGCTATTTATCAAAAATAATACTAGCAAGTTTTAAAAAATAAGTTTAAAATAATATAATCAAATATACTTTGACTGGTATAAAATACAATATCATTTTAATATCATTACCAGCATGTGTAATTCAATATTGAATAAATAAAGCATAAAAAGATATTTTTATTTTTGAATTCAATTAAGCGTCAATTTTCACTTTTAATGATTTCAATTGCGACTGGAAACCAAAGCACTTTTTAAAAGCGTAGCCAGAGTCGGAAAAAAAAACTATCGCCGCAGGGCAAAAACATTCAACCAACTTCACACCGACTCCATTTCCCATTTCCCTGGACTCCACTACCACCATAGCTTATTCATTTCATTTCATTCCATTCCGTTCGGTTTGGCTAGGTTTTTCTGACCCCACTTCGCATTTTCCCTCGTGCTCGGCCACCTTGCTTTTTGTTGTTGCCCAACATTGCCATAGTTTTATGGAATATCCGTGTTGTCCTTGCCGCTCTTGTTGTCGTTCTTGTTGCTTCTATACTGATTCCTGGACTGGCAACGTTTTTGAAATGTGTGCATATTGTTGGCATAATTGACTGGGTTTTTGTCAATGCTTTTTGTTTGCTCGGCCGTTTTTTCAGCCGCTGCCATCGGTTTTAGGTCCTAATGTGCCATTTGTTGACTGTTTCTATAGGCATAGGCAAATGGGTTCACTGACTAGCCAAGTGACGTGGAATTTGTCGGCCCTAAACGGGGAAAAACCGTGCAGAATTATTACTTTCCTAGATCCATATCAAAGGGAATTATACCTCAGATAGCGATATTAAAAAGGGGCTTACAAATACACATCTCAAGCTCGATTTATAGGTACATAATGAGCTTCAAGGCTAGTTATGTGGAGTGTTTTCAAAGTAAGATTATGGAAAAAGTTCCGAGATAGCTGCCAAGAATTTATATATAACGGGGTGTTTTTGTGATTATAATATCCCGCACAATTATGCCCTAAGAATATTAACGAAGATGGTATCTTACCCACCTTAATCGTTCTCAGAACTCGAAGTTTTTTCCCCATTTCCCTATTGCGGTCTGCGCGGCTTGGAAAAACTAAACTTTCCCAACCCCGCGTAGAAAACCCACTCACATAAGTAGAGACACTCTCCGCCGACAATCTCTCAATAAACACTTGCACAGCTCTTAATTACCCAATGCAAACTTGCTCAAGTAACACAACTTGTCCCTGAGGTGTGTGTCTGTGGGTGGTGGGTGGTGGTTGATGGGTGTAGGGGCTGTGACTGCTGCTCAGGTGAGACTGCTCCTCTGACCCATCACACCTGCACCCACTTCCTGTTGCGTCCTTCTCCTGGCAGCCAACCAGCCATCTAGAGTTTTTCCCAGGCGCTGCCAGGAGAACTTCGCTTGACTGGCTGTCATACAAGTTTGTCAGCTTGTTTGGCTGCGTGTTAAACAAAAACGTGGCAACAACTTTCAAGTCAAAGTTTTCATGACTCTTTTGTCAATTACCGTTAGTTAGCAAGTGGGTGGTGTGGGTGGTGGGGTTGGTGAGGGCAGGGGAGATCCCAACTTTTACCTGCTTAAGGCCGTGGCCACACATTAGGCCATTGACAAGGCGATTGGGAAAGTCATGTGGCAGAGATCTGCCTTTGTCTCTGCGTTTGGGAATCGACATGTCCTGATGTACTGAAAAAAATAGGTTGGCAATAAGCACTTCCAAGCCAATGTGACTAGCTTAGCAAGCTGAATAATATGTTTTTAAAAATATATTTTGCTATGCAAACCTCTCATTTGTTTTAGAATTATGGTGCATATTGTTTTATAGAAGTTCTTTCATTTCGAGCCCTTATCTTCTTCAGTGTTCTTTTGCTTTCTGCTTTCCCAATTAATTCCCATCTAAACTCCATCCGAACTCGGGCTTTTCGTTTGCGTAACCCAAGCAGATAGATGGAATTCTCCTGTGTGTGTCCCCGGCTAATCCATCATTATTGATTGGCATTAAGTTGTTCTCGGTTTGTGTCCTGCCATTACGTAATGGCCTTCGAATTAATGAGCATTTATTTATGGCAGAGCAGCGACGGGAAATCCCCCACAAGGAACTGGCTTAGTGGGCAAATATGCGAGCATTTTAATTAAAACCCAACTAACCACATGAAACGACCGCTATCCAGGCTCACTATACAACTGTCTCTCTTTCTGTTTAATTGCAGCTATCACTCGAAGAGGAAAGGACACGGCGAAGCTGCAGGATGCCAGGCAAAAGGATTTGAAATTACATTTTTAATGCCGAGGCGGGCAAGAAAAAGAGCGCGAAATGAGCAGCACGTGCGCGCTTTATTTTAAATATTTATAAACAAACAATCACACACACACAGTGCACGAACGCACGCGCACACCTATCCACACACACAAACACACATATTTAGGTGACCAAAGTTAAGCCTCGTCAAATTGTATTAAAAATTCATCTTAACGGTTATGCGTTTTGTACAAACAGTCGAGTGGCTAAGGAGCCGGGAAAAAAATGTTTGTAAATATTAAAATGAATTTATGTGCAGAGCAAAAGTTTTTAATTAAGTGAAAAGCGAAAACACGAGTGGAAACGATAAAAACGCGCCGCCAAACAGGAAGGAATCATCGAGCGTGTGAATTAGAGCAACGAGCTTACATATTTGAAGCGATGTTCGAGCAGCCAGAACCCAATTTATTTGCATACCTAATGCCCGTGCAGTGAGCCTCGGCAAATTGCGAAGCCCAGCGCAGAATACAAACCAAACAGTTATCACCAATTGGCCAATCGGATCGGTAGCAGTCAGCTATAGCCATGTCCTTCACCGGCTCATTCCTTATATGCCTGATCATGGGAGCCATCACCAATGCGAATTCGCACGACCATGCCGATGGCTTCAAGCCAGGTGAGTGATGAAATCGAGTGAATAGTGTGTACATTTATTACTATCAACGAATGGACAAATTAAAATTATTCATTCAAGCCAACGAGCTATTATTATTTTGGCTCGTGTAAGCTGTATATTTTATTAACAATTGTTATCCCTGCCATTTGGAATCCCTTTCATTCGTTATGACAATTTTTCACATTCACATTGTTTACTCGCATTTTTTTCCAGCCTTCTTTCAGGCTTTAAAATGCGAATGTTTTTGTTTTCCAACTTTTGTCTGACGCAAAGGACAAATAAAATTTAATTATGCAGCAAAAGTTACACACTTTTAATTAGTCGCTTGTGACTTCAAGTCAAGAAAAAAGTCTGTCGAGAGATAAGGTTTACTTGGCTAATTAGGCGAAAGATGGAGCCTTTTTTGAATGAAATTTAAATGCAAATATGTATGCTGATGTATACCTGTGGTATTGAAGCTATCTGAGTTTCTCCCTTAACAATTTATTCACGCGTCGCCCTTAATTGAACATTTAAATCCATTGTTTGGAGTTCAGTACATATTTTTTCTGACCAAACATTTAAAAATGTGGTCAGGCAACTTTTTTCCCTTTGGTTTTGTCGTTTGCATAAACGAACAAAACTTTTTCCCAGCGAGCGGTTGAAATGTTTAAATTAATACGGAAAAGAAGGAAATAAAATTGTTGCAATTTTTACAACTTCATTATGGATATTTCGTTGCCGTGGCTTTTTTCCTGGGCGACATGTGCGCACTTCCTTCCTCACTGCCCAGCATCCAGTAATAAACGCCAATGCTGGCCACAAATCCACAAAAGCGTCACCTGTGTCAGCTCCGATGCTCCAGTATGCCAGTGTACCAGGATGCCCATCGTCCCCATCCACCAACCATCTACCAACCATCCACCTGGCAGGATGCTGTTGCTCCCACTCCCTGTGGTAGCTACTTTGGCCCAGTGTTCCACTGTTCCAGCGCCGAAAAAATGCATAAATTCACATTTTTATGTGTCTGCGTTGGACTTTACATTAGCTGTGCCACCGATGCTGCTCCTGTTCGCTGATTATCCCCGGAGAGCTATAAAAAAATATATATAACATAGCACTATATATAGCATAGTTAATATGTGTATATAAATGCCGGATATATGTGTACAAATTTATTTTGCTGTCCACTTTGAGCCAGGGGAATTTACCCGGCGCTGGCATGCGAAATTGAGTTAAAACCTGAACATTATCATATTGCAGAGCGTTGGAGTTGGAGGAGTTTCGCCAGCAAGGTTAACTTTATTTTATGGTTATAAATTATCGATCATTTGCCTTATGCTGGGTTTAAAAACGTGTTAGACACAGCTGGCACATAAATTACGTAATGGAAAATTAGAGGCGATGCTTGGATAGTTGGATGGTTGGAGGGTTGGTGGGCGTGGCCCACTTTGAACGCGCTTTAATTTCATTACCCAACACTTGATGCCGTTGGACGGCGGTGCGCTTACATAATAATTAGTAAAATAAATTTCACCTAAATACACACAGCGAGAAAAAGATCAGCATCCCAGGGAAAACAAGCCCCTCCCCTCTGCTTCCTGCTCCCTGCTCCCTTCTCACTGCCATAATATTTTTCCATCTCCAGGAAGGTGCGCCAAATGGCCACGTCAAACGCACGTTCACGACCCACTTTAGACTGGGTCCTTTTCGCCGGCGAAGGACACAATGTCGTTGGCAAATTATTTCCCATCATTTTTCACGCAAAAAAGCGGAATTTTTTTTTAGCAAGATGGAGATACATGCAAAGTGCCATTTCGCAGGACAGCAGCCAGTTGTCAACGGGCGCCGATGTCCGCCAAGAATAATATCAGCGAACTAGCAGGACGACGATGTCCTTGCTGAAATGAAATCTAATTAAAGGCCGCCGAACGTGCAGTTTCCGGACTGCAGTTAACGGCATCAACTTTGGCAAAACAAACAACCAGACAATGGCAAATGTTTTAGTAACCAAAGCGAGCCATCTTCGCCAGGTAACGTGGCCATTGAAATTCAGAGAAGAGGTTAAAAGGGCATTAAAGGGCTTGCTTTGCTTTGCAAATCTGCACTCCAATTCGAAAACCACGTGGCGGTCTAAGGATAGATATTTTGGATATCCAAAGGAAAGGATATCAATGGAAAATATATTTAACGTACAAAAATATATTTTACCCTTGTAATAATTAAATCTAGCCATTTATTTATATTTTATGGTATATGTTTGTGTTTGGGAGGATGATTTATGATTGTCTTTTATCAAATTAGGTGCAGCTTAGTTTTGTGGTAAATAAAACTATAGACATGTTGACTTAAATTTTGAGTAAATAGTTAAAAACATCCTCCACCGCCACACATTTTACAGAGTTCAGATCCATTTGGAGCTCCGGTGTGGCTGGTAGCACAAGCGATTTCTAATTCAATTTCGGTGACAGCACATAAATAAAAGAAACATTTTGAGCAGCAGTAGTCAAAAGCAAAGCAAACCAACGAAAAAACTGTAAAAGCAATTCTTTGCCCAAAACGAGGGAGGAAAATGTAAAGAAAAATACTCAAGAAAAAGGCGCACAAATGTCAGTTTTCCCAGGACTCGAGCGGCCGCAACTACATACCAACTGCCACTACCAAAATATCCCACTGTGCTTGTGTGTGTTTGTGTTTCTGTGTCTGTTTCTGTTGGTGTTAGTGCCCTAACAACATTTCGACGAATCGTTTACCAATTTTTCTGACTGCTGCAAATCAAAGCGAGAGACGACAGAAAAATTTCTCTGCAAGCCAGGAGCTGCAAAAAAACTTTTTAAATTAACTAAAAAACGGCAAACACAAAGGAAGAGGTTTTATTTTTTGGGATCGCTATGGGTGTGGGTGTGGGTGTGGGTGTAGGTGTGGGTGAGTGGGACACGTTGTCGCTGGTGTTGGCATTCGGTTTGAGTATTTTAGAGCAAAGTGGAAAACTTTTAGTGGCATGTTTACAAAATAAACTTCAGCTTGCAAAACGGACAGAAATAAAGAAAAATGCTGATTGCTAGCAACAACAGAGTGGCCGAAAAAAAATGATTATGATGCGTGGTGGGTGGTGGGTGATGGGTGGTGTTGTACAGTAGCTATTATGCATCAGCTGACACACATTTTCGGGGCAAGGTAAGAACAACGAGACCCGGCTTTGGCAACTTTTGTTTGGTTTGTTGTCACTGTCACTGTGTGTAGGCCAGAAAAGTTTTTACACCACGTTTTTTATTCCGCTCGTCGTTTTGTTGTGTTTTTTAGGGGGCTTTTTCGATGTCGTACGTATTGTTGTTGCTCGTGCTTTTCTGCTGACAGTTGGGCAAACAAAGCATAATTTTTAATCTGGCCGGGCAAACATTGTTACATATGCGACACACACTCACCATGCGCCCTCGACAAAAAAGAAGAAGGAAAATACTGAAAACTCCACCTGAACGGGGCTTTTAGCTTGATTGTTGATGGGCCACAGCAAAAGCAACAGAGCCAGTTGCGAAAAAAAGGAGAAAATTATGTTTATTTGGCTTTGGCCTGGATTTGTTGCGCATACGCAGCGTATGACGCCGTACGTGACAATATCATCAAGTGGGGCAACGGGAATCTGTTGATTTAGCGTTTTTCCACTCGGCGCTTTTATAAAATGATTTATGCCACATACGAAAAACTAATTAACAGTTCGGCTAGGAGGCGAAAATGAACCCATAATATATTGCAACCAATATAAGAAATCTGGATTGTAAATTCATTAAAGTTATATTCAAAATGAAATCACTTTCGATATTATATTCAGTATCGTATTCGCTGAACTAAAATTAATGAACCTGTCTAGGAGAGTGGATTGCTTGCATTGGTAATGTCAAGTATGACAGTTATTGGCGTCATTTTAAAAGCGCTCCAAGCTTATTAATGCGTAATATGCGGTGCTTCAAAGGTCTGTTGAGCATTTGATTTTTTCCTGTCTGCCGCTGACATTTAATGACCACAGACAACACCGCACACACACATGTTCTTTGCGGTTCGGCCTTTAAAATTCAAGTTCAGGTCGGCCCCCTTTTGACAGACAGACGAACAGCTGCCACTGACAGGCGGAATGCGGATGGTTTGGGTTTGGGTGAGCGGACCCTCGTCTAGACTCCTTTGAAAAACGCCCATTGGGGCATGACAAATGGGCACCGGGTGGGCTGGCGAATTGCGAGTTTCGAGCGGGTTGTTTGCAAATTTCTTAACACGAAATTAGTCGCCATAAACAATGGGCAAACAAACTGCAGCTGACGAGACGTTAGTTGGGTCTAATCGAAAGCAAATAAAATGCATGCCATACCTGCATGCCATAAACTGTCACTTGCATTGCGCCAAAGACACTCATGCAGACAATACACTGAAAAAAGAGGCATGCAAACTAAATGTTTAGTCCACATTTGTAAGAATAATCAGGGTACAATTGTACCTTGAAGACATCTTGCTTTGTTTAAACATATTTAAATTTAAAACAAATTGAAAAATCAATCAGGCTAACTATTAGTATGAAATTAACATGTAATGTAGTCATAATTTACCCATTTCAAAAACATTATTGGCTACAGGGGTTTTATTTGGAACAAATTGTCGCTGAGGGTCCTCGATTTTATCTCAAAGTGTGCAGACAGACAAACGGCATGGCAGCCCTGCCTGTCTGCCTCCATCGCCTTTTCCACCTGCCATGACTTGGTTTGCATGCCAAGTCCTCGTTTCATATGCCTCCGCCCACCCGACCACGCCCCCTGTATGTTTTACCATAATTTGCCACCAGTTTGTGTGCCCCAGGTTTGTGTTGTTGCTGCCGCTGTTGCAGCCATTTGCGGGCTTGTCGCCTCTTATCGAATGCAACTGCGAATGGGTGTGGGAATGGGAATGGGCGAGCGAGAATGCGAATGCAAAACTTGCCGCAGTCGTTGGGAAATTAAAATTGTTTACGCAAAGAGACATTAATGGCCCGGCCTTCT